AGGCAGAGAAGAAATACGTAGAAATGGTATTTTTTGTAATTTAGATATACTTCTTGATGCCTGCTACATCGCTGGGTTGGCAAAAAAAAATGGGGGGGGTGGAGAGACTACAAAATCAAACCCCACTCTGGCACAAGAAGGCCTTAGAACTATATAGATGGAAACACAAGACTTAGAATCAGAAGACTTGGGTTCAAATTCTGTTTCTGCTATTTAGTCCCTTTTGTCATTGGACAAGTCATTGGGTCACTTACTTGGACTCAGTTTCTTAATAGATGAAATAAAAGAGTTAGACTAGGTAATCTTTAAGGTTTCTGAGCCAGAAAGACCTTCTAACCTGAGGATCATGGGGTTTGTGGTGAAAACAAAGTAGATGTCCATTAATTAGAGATGGCTAAAAAAAAAAGGGTATGCTTCAAGAAACAACAAATGTGATCAATTTCAAGAAGCACGGGAAGATTGATATAAACTGATGTAGTGACAGAAAAGCATTGTAACTAGGGCATTGTTCCTAGGGACAAGAAGGAATGGGTTCAAGTACTAGCTCAGGTACTAGCTGTGGAAGCTTAGGCAAATCTCTTAATGTGTCTGTTCCTCAGTTTCCTCATCAACAAAATAAGGAGAGGAAAGAAACAGAAGGAAGAAGAGATGAGGGGAAAAGAGATTAGAGAAGAAAGGAGGGGAGAAGACAGCAGAGGAAAAGCTCTCTTGTGCTTCCTGAGAGTTGAAAGAGTTCCCAGGCATGAGGAATGATACCATTTGTGGATGGTTTCTCATTTATATCTTCCAAGAATCTTAACATATGTTTGGATTATTGGAAATGAGGAAATGAGGACACAAGGGAGTGTGTTCTTAGAGAAACATAATGAGAAAATCCCCTACTAATCACTTTGTGTGTTTAAGGTGAGCCTGCTTGTTGATGGAGGAGAAGGTGGTGTCTGATTTAAAAACTGATCTAACATCCAGTGTCTTGGCCACATGTTATCAGCTGAGTGGCTGACCCTGGGCACCTAATTATCCAGTGATGCCTCTTTCTGTTGCCTGCTATAGGCAGCAACCTGCTTCAGCGGTTTCTTCTTCAGTTTTTTTTAAAAGAACTACAAATTCTTCAAATACTCATAGTTTCACCTAGGTGAAGTCCTCTTAACTGACACATATCATGACTTAGTCAACCATCTTCATGAATTTCCCAACCAACTTTTTGGTAACTAGCTCCCTGACCTTGGGCTCACCAGGACCATACTCAAAGACTTTTCAGCTTGGTTGGATGTGGCCAAAGTCTTCATTCAGCCAGCACCAACTTCAAGGACCCCAAGGACAGTGTAGAAGGTGGCTTCCACATCATCAGAGTAGGACTGTAATGGAGACTGATTGCAGTGATTCCAACAACATTTAATTAAGTCAATGGTATTATGAGAAGAAAGTATTTTCTTTACAAATACATAATTTGCTTTTGGGAATGATAATGTAGTGATATCTCATTCATCCAGAAGTGATTTAACAAGTAACTTCACCAAACTGAAATGTAATCACAGCCCTAGAAGTGAGCAAAAGCAGCTCCTGGATGGCAAAAAAGAGATTTCATAATTCCCATGCATTACATTTGAGATAATCATACCAATCCTTTGCTCAAAGCCTATTTGCTCTTTTTTTAAATACATTTCCAATGAGCTTGTGGAGCTGTTTTCCCAGTCCACCAAATATTAGAAGCATCAGAATGGGAAGAGTAACATGGATCTGTCATATATCAATAGGCATTTGACAGTGGTAGGAAGTGACATCTGATAGCTGCTGGTAAAATTTTTTTTTAAAATGGACTCAAGACCTCTAAAAGCACAGATGTCTAGAGCAGCTTACCATGGGCAGATAGCCTGAGGCACTTTTGTTATCCCTGGAGGTATCACTATATCCCAGCACAACTAAGTCCATAATAATGCTACTGAATCATCAAGAAAATACTAAATTATGTTCAGTGTACTCTGTATAAGGAAGTACAGAAACATGTGGAACATTTTTTGAAAGATATCTATTCAAAAAGGAGTTTGGTTTTTTGTTTTTGTGTTTTGCTAAAGGGGTCAGCATCAATTATCTGAAAATTTCACATATGTGGAATTCTTCAGTGATGCTGAATAAATGATGTATTGCACATTATAGTAAAGTCTTGGTGAACTGTGTGGTTCAAAATAGGAAGATTTCCTTAGGGTGTTGGTCAACCAGAGCAAAACAGAAAGGAAGCTGATCCAAGTAGATCTTCAATGCATGGGCAAGGACATAGCTGCTTATCTTGTATAGATAACCTTGTGAGCCTTCTCAAACAGCCTCCCTAGGTGCTCCACAGGCCCGATGCTCTAAGAAGGCAGCCAGGAAAAATGCTGTGATAGGTCTACATCCCTTCACCTCTGGGCATCTTCTGTGGCCATGCTTGGTACAAAAGCCAGAAAAAGCAGTCTGTTCACTAGGAGGGCAATTTCATGATGATACCCAAATTCAAATATCTCATAGGCTCCATATCTATAAAAGTGATTTGAGATTCCACACCATCCTCCCAGAAGCTGAGACATTATAGGCCCCAGGCAAGAAAAGCCTAGTTCTAGCCAGGCTCTACCACTGACCATGTGATTTTTGTTATGTTCCTTGCCCTCTCCGGCCTCAATTTCTTTGTCTAGATAACATGAAGCTTGGATTAGACTAATATAAGGTCTTTTCAAGACCTAACACTGTGACTATAATTTCTTTTAATGAATAGAGATAAAGTGATACTGGACTCAGGATACTCCCCAGAAATTATTCTGTAGTTGGGATGGAAGGAGATGGCAGGGGGTGGGGAGGGGAGTGAGGGAGAGGTGGAGAGAAGGACTAACAAATCCCTAATAAGAGCAGGAAAAAAAACTTGGTTAATTGAGGGCTCTGATTAGTTAGGTCACAAGAAATTGAGGTCTTACCATAATATGCTTCATTCAGGGAGGTCCATATTTCCTACAAAGAATTTCACAGCATGGGCTCTATTTCTCATCAGAATCGCCATTTTCCAATTTTATTTAAGTGGATCTGTAATGTGACAGTCTGGATTCCTTTCAAAGTCTCCCTCTGCATGGATAAGTACTGCCCTAAGCATTAGAATCTTTTCCAAATCCATATGCTCACTTTTGAATAAAGATTACCTGATTCCGAAAAGATTACCTTTCTAAAACCTTGTATCACATCTCATCCTTCATTATGTGGCTTTCTTGCTATTTTATTTGGAAATGGCATTGTGCTTTGGGGTTTCCATTGGCTGACCTATATAGCTTCCTCACTTTGGAAAAGTTTGGTTGGGTGAATCAATTTGTATAGTCTGTTCTGAGATGCCGGCTCTCAGTGACAAGCAGAAAATTGAAATTTGCAAGCCATTAGCTGTTAAGATGGTACACGGAACTTGTCTTTTAAAAATTCCCATGGCCAGATTAGGAATTCTTCAGGAAAGACAAGGCCTGTGTATATGGTATCTTTTCCATGTATGTTTTTGATATGTTCATCCCTTTAGACATTGTGGCATTTTCAAGTTCATGATAAACTTAAATAACTTGAACCATCCATCATTTTGTATAAATGACACCTGTTCATACATACTGTATGCTGTCTATACATGAATTGTGAGTGATAGGGAATGGAGCTGTGAACAATGGGGCAAGAGTAGAGCTATAGCCTTAATCCAAATAAAAGCCTTTACTGAGGACAATAGCACTTGGGTACTGCCTACAACCTAAGCAGCAAAATTTCCACAACTTTCAGTGCTATTACCAATGTTTCACCAGCACCACCAATGAGACAAGCACTACCAGGCCTGCCCCCCAGGAGCTTCCAATCTAGCTGAAGGGTTCAGATATACATACGTGAAACAGGTCTACAATTTGTGAAATACTTGATGAAGAGGAGCTATTGTGAGTGAACAATAATCCTGACTTACAATTTACAAAGCCTTTCATGTGCATTACTACTTCATCTGATCCTCCCAGTGAGCCTGAGTTAGACAAAGCATATCCTCATCAGACAGATGAGAAAACTGAATCACAGAGAGTGGAAGCACTTTGGCCCGGGGCATACAAGGCTTAAGCGGTGCAGCTGGGCCACGAGCCAGTTCGTCTGACACCATCTCCAAAGTTCCTTCCACTTCATTCCTCCAGAGGCATTCAACAAGGATTTGTTGAATGAATTAAGGAAGGAACCAGACAATAAGAACAAGATGAGTTCTAAGAAAAGACAGATCAGTGCAGACCAAAGGGCTTCTGGAGAAGCTCTTAGAAACTCTGGGGACAAAGTTGCAGTGAGGCTCCATTGTGTATCTACATAGATGTCCATATTTGAGTGTGGCAAGGGTATGGAGCATGCAAAGTAGCCTGGCCAACACTGAAGGACCCAGGAAACAATCCCAGGCTATTCAAATGCAGTAGATCACAACCTGATCGAAAGGGTCAATGGGTCCAATTCTCAAAAGCCTACTTACTGACCATTGTCTTCACAATCAAACCACCTGTCTACTCTGGTCATTTTGGCATTTGCCCTCCACCTCCTGAAAACACACCTGCTAAATGGGCTAGCCATAAGAATGCCCCGAGGCCCTAAGGATGTTAATCAACTTGGCTTTGGAATTCCCAGTGGATAGAGCACTGGGCCCAGAGTCAGGAAAACTCATCTTTGTGAGTTCAAATCTGGCTTCAGATACTTACTAGCTGTGTGACCTTGGGGAGGTCATTTAACCCTGTTTGCCTCAGTCTCCTAATCTGTAAAATGTTCTGGAGAAGGAAATGGCAAACCACTCGAGGATCTCTGCCAAGAAGACCCTAAGAGGGATCATGAAGAGTCAGACACAATACAACAACAATGTGCTCTCTTAATTAATGATGTGAGCCCTGGACTCAGTAACCAAATTAATACTATCCTGCTACATTGTTCATGGAAAAGGAGTATCAATTGACCATTCTATGAATCAACTCACCATCTCTGTGATTTACCAGACTCACCTCTACAGGGCTATCATGCCCATGTATGTGTGGTTCCCCCATTAAAATGTAAGCTCCTCAAGAACAAGGACTGTCTCATATCTGCATCCAATATTCATTTCTTCTCCTTCCATCTATGAAAATCTGTTCAGGAGAAATAATTTGATAGCAATGATTAAGTAATATAACCAAAATTCAAAATATCAGTTTATCCAGTTATGTTTCCATTTTAAGCTCTATCTCTAACAGTAAAATGAAAAGTTTCACCCTTGGCATCATGAAACAGATAGAGGAGGTAATAGGAGGAGGGGCTTCTATGGCTAAAAGCAGCCCTGATCCCTGGGCTCACAGCAGTCCCATTTCAATGTTCCATTTGAGCCAACACCCCAGTTTTTCTTTGGCCCCATCTATTCAAGCACAATGAAACAGAATCTGATGGAAATAATCACTGAATCTAATTCACCAAAGCTTATGAGCAAGGTTCACTGATAATGGGGAGCCAGAAATGCTATACAAGAGGAGAAAACAATGAGATGTGCTTAAAAAAATTCTTATTTCACTCAGTCAAGGTGGATTCGATGACCATGGAGTGACTAGCTCCTGAATCAAACCCTGGTTCAATTCAACAAACACTTACTAGGTCCCTACTACAGGCACGGCATTGTGCTAATGGGCATAAAGATAAAGAATGACCTATTGCCTGCCCTACCAGAGCTTCACCCTTGTTCCCTTCCTCTCTAAACATACCACCTGAACTAATAACTTTTAAATATCCTGAGCAGTAGAGAATAGTGAGAAGTCTTCTGGACTGGGAGTTGAAAATTGGTACAAAGGGAAAGAGAACTAACACTGGTGTCAGAGGACCTGTTTATAAATCTTGCCCCTGATCATTGGGCAAGTTATCCTCTCTGGGCCTCAGTTTCCCCATCTGGGAGGAACTGAACTAGATGCTCCCTGAGGCTCCTTCCAAGTTTGGATTTGTGACCTGGTTTTAAATCTTGGCTTACCTATCTCCCAGGGTTGCTGCTGGGCTCAAATGACTTCATGTATGTAAAACACTATATAAACAAGCTCTTTTTCATCTTTCCCTTACCTAAGCATTGAGTGCTATGTTCTCACTGTGCATATCCAATGTCCCAAACCTCAGCGTTTCAATACAAGAGGCAAGAAACAACAACCGAGGAAGCAGAATCATTTCAGTTAGAAGATAGAAAAGATATCAACCACTCTGTGAGGCTTAGCTGTTTCTTTGATAACCTTTCATTTTAGCTAGGACACCTGATTATAGACCCTCTTTCTTGAACAGTGCTTTTTCTTTCTTTCACTCATTCTAAAAATAGGAAGGCAGTTGGCACCTTGAGTTTTCATTCCTGAAGAACTCTTACATACCTGTTTTCAAGTTTGTTATGAAGGCTAATCCAGATGGCAGCTTTGGGAATCCAGCTGTTGCTTCTCAGGCACACAAAAATCTCCACAAACCCCCCAGTGTGCTAAATTACCACCTTCATCCTCTTCGGTTAACCTCAAACTGGGTCACCCCCAATCAAGAAAAAATTAATGACTAGAACCATATTTTGCTTTTCCTCTTAATTAAAGTAATCTCATCCCAGTGCTAACACTCATTCTGACCTATGCAAATGACAAGGCTGAAGCTTTCTTCAGAGAAATTGACAACCAATGGAGAATAACAAATGAAGCTGATGCCTCCTTAAATGCCAACTCAGGTGGTCCTCCTGCTCCCAGAAAACCTCCAAAGCAGCTTCTTCCTCTTGCAATTAGAGCAAATACAGACTTGCTTTCCTTCCTTTGTCAGAGAAAAAAAAAGAAAAATAAACAGTGGCTAATGCTACAAGTGACATACGGATTTCTATTTTAGTTTGGTCATTATTTGTGTTTCTTTTTTCTCTTGGTTTGGAGAAAGTGACAATTGTCTAGCAATAAACAAATGACTGACTGACCAAGTTTGGTGTCATGGATCCCTCTGGCAGTCTGATGTAGTATATGGGTCGCTTCTCAGAATTATGTTTTTAAATAATTGAAGTAAAGGCCAAATTCTCCATCCAAGTTCACAGACCCCCTCCCCGAACTCTATCCATGAACCATTTAGGGGTACATGAACTACAAATTAAGAGTCCTTGCTCTGTCAGTTTTATGCGTCTGGGTTGGTCTTAGCCAGGACTTCCAAAGAGGTGAAATAAAGAGGTCCTTGGAGCTGTATATGCATGCTTACTACATGAAACATTTACCAGAATCAGGAATTAAAAGGACAGAAAGACTGCCTCTCTCCAATGACGCCAGAATTGAAGTTACTTTCTTTCTCTCCATCTTCCAATTACTGACTCAAGTATAAAGAGTGGCAAAATAGTTGCCTCTTTTGATATGTTATCTCTCTAGGCTACAAATGTGCTGGGAGGGGTTATTTAGAATAGAGTTGTGCATTGGGCAGACAGGAGAGTTGCAAAAAAGTTGCTAGAGAATCTTCATTAGCTCTAGGCATCTGAGAGTTCTTCATCTGTATATTCATTTGTTGGAGGAACTACACTTAAGGACATATTGTTGTGTGTGTGTGTGTGTGTGTGTGTGTGCGTGTGTGTTTGTGAAAGACAGAAACAGAGAGAGACTCAAAGAGAAAAGAGAAAAAGAGAGATAGAGACAGAGAGGGGAGTACATACTTATGTGAAGCACGCCAAACATTTGGCTCTGTCCAGACAATAGACCTTCTCTAGATAGTACTCCTTTTCAGGAGTTGTGCAATTTTATCCAGAGCCAAACAAAAGGAGCTATATCCTTTAACAAATGCACCAAGCTAGAGTAAACGGACCTTCAGATACCTTTGAAAGCACCAATCCCATGTGTGTCAGATAGGGAAAAACACAGGGACACTTTGGTATCAAGGGCTATACTCATAAACGTTTATTAAGTTCTTCAGCTCTGTAACTACATGCCACTCCTCATCCTCCGTTTGAAGTAAAGGAGACCAATCTAACCAGTCTGCATCAATATCTTCCAATTTAAACATCCTATGATTCCCTGTGACTCCAAATCAATGACTCTATCCACATGCCACAGCTGTCACCTGCTCATACAGCAGGATAGAATGGAAAGAAGGCTGGGGACTTGAGTGTATCATCCTTGGCTAGAGACTTCCTTCATATCATCTAAACCAAACTGAACTATGATAGTCAGGGACTGAGTTCAGCCAGGATGATGAGGCATTAGATGAAGTCAGGTGGAAAAGGATCAAAGTGGGCAAGCATCACAAATAGGAATTAAGTCTGTGGGGCAAAGGTTTAAAGTCAGGAGCTGACACAGTCGGAATGGATAAATTTCAAGGTGGTCAGGAAACAGTAGTGAGGCACACAGGCAGAGAAATATGTGCCATTAGGTCAGAGAGGACAGACTGAAGCAGTATAATATTGGGTGACAGAGGAGTGATTTTTTTTAAAAACTCATTTTTTTAAACCCAGAGTTACTCAATTGACTCCATCTTCTAGATCTAGACAAATTTCTAGGTGTCAAAAAAAAAAACTTACACCATCTAGGGTCATGGAGTAACTTATCCCTACCCTTTCTCCCTCACACCCAAACTAGCCCTAGGAACTTTTTGTATATATATCCAATGAGACAAGAGCACCTACCTCCAAGGGTTGTTGTAAGGATTATATCAGATAATAACTGTAAAACCCTTAGCACAGTCCTGGTACATGGTAGATGCTATATAAATATTAGCCATGATGTAGATGATGACGATGATGATGATGGTGGTGGTGATGACGATGATGATGATGATGATGATGATGATGTGATGATGATGATGATGATGATGATGATGATGATGATGATGATGGGACCACATTTCAGGTCAGACTTGAGATTCTACAAAAGACTCACATTCTCAGGGGATTCCTACAGCCCAATCAAAGAAATCCGGCCCTCCTCTTCACAAGATAGCTTTCCTTCTGGGACCACTATCTCTCCCAAGTGACAGGTTCAGATTTGCCCTAAGAATGACAGGTTACACAGATTCAGCTCTGCCCCTAAGTATGTATGACCTCAGGGAAGTTACTTACCCTCTTTGTTTCCTTGGTTTCCTAATCATAAATTCATAGGTTTTTAGAATTGAGAAGGACTTTAGAGTTCACCTGGTCCAACTCTCATTTTATATAAGAAGAAACTGTGTTTTGATGGAGATGGAGGATTGTGTAACATGTTGTCAAGACTCCAAGAAAAAAATGTTTGGGAACCATTAGCAGAGATTTTATGGGTAGTAAAACAGCTATTGAGAGAACAAGATAATGTATATAAGGTGCTTTGTAAACTCTAATGCACCATATAAATACCATATGACAATGATGATGATGATTATAATGGCATTAATATCAAAGAGCTATAGAAACCAGAACAAAAAGGATAAAATTTAATGGGGACAAATGTAAAGTCTTATACTTGAATTCTAATAATGAACTTCACATGTACAAGATGGGCAAAGTATGACCAAACAGCTCATGTGAAAAGTATCTGAGGGCTTCAGCCACCTGCAAGTCTGATACAAGTCAATGGTATGATATGACAGCCAATGGTATAGAGGGAGGTACAGTATCCAAGACAAGGAATGTGAGAGACCTGCTGGCGTCTGTGCTGGGCAGGCCACATCTGGTGGACTGAGTTCAGTTCTGGATGCCCCATTTGGGAAGAATGATTGACAACCTGAAGTGGGTCCAGAGGAGGTCTATCAGGATGATCTGGGCACTAGAAACCATGATACATGAGGATTCGTTGAAGACCCTAGGTATGTTTAACTTAACCTGGAGAAAAGAAGACCAAGAATGGACATGATAAGTATTTTTTGTTTTGTTTTGTTTTAGGCAATTGGGGTTAAGTGACTTGCCCAGGGTCACACAGCTAGTAAGTGTCAAGTGTTCGGTCTGAGGGCGGATTGGAACTCAGGTCCTCCTAACTTCAGGGTTGGTGCTCTATCCACTGCACCACCTAGCTGCCCCCCATGATAAGTTTCAAAATGTCATTTTTCTATGCTCAGAGCTGAAAACATATATCCACTATTAAAAAAAAAAAAACCCCTATGGTGGCTCCCAAATAAAATACAAGCTCCCTAGTCTATCATTAGG